TTTTTCTATTTATACCAAGAAAGTTTTAAAAAAACCCCCTCAATAGTATAATATTAAAAATCTATTTTCTGGAGTCAAAAATGTATATAGATATTTTGTATAATAAAAAAACAGATAACCAAAAAGTTTAAATTTTGAAAACTTTTCTATTCATTATTTTTAATCTCTTCTAATTGTTTTTTTTTTTAATTTTTGAAAAATTTTATGTGTTTTAGTTTGATTTTAAATTTCAAAATAGTATATATATATATAATTTTTATAAAAAATGATTGATTAATATAAATATATTAAATGTTAATTGATGCTTTGATTCTAGTTTATTTTCTTAATTGAATTAATCTATATATTAAATCTATAAGGTCAATATAACATGTGCAACAAGTTTTCAAGTAGTAAAAAAGTTATTATTTGTTCAAATTAAAATTATTTTTATTATCTTGATTAAATAAAGTTTAAAATCAAGATTTTTTTCTATTTTGATCAAGTAATAAAACTGAGTAATATTTAAATTATATTAATTTTTAATTCTTTAATCATAATTAAAAATATATTTTTATAAAAGTTATTATAGTTAACAGAAATTTTTAATTTTTATACTATTACAAGAGTAATAAAAATATTTATAAATAAAATTTTTTAATTAGATATAACCATTGGAAAATATTATATTAAAACAATACAACTCAGTTCTCATTATATCATATAAAAACCTAAAATCTATTATAAGTTACTCATTCACTATAAATAGATATAAAATTATTGCTCAAAGAAAGTTGAAACTAAATATGTTTTTAGAAATAAAGATTCCTAATAAGTAATAAATTTTCTTAAGTAATATATAGAAAGAAAATTAAAATCAAGAATAAATAAATTTTGCAGAAAGTCAGGAGAAGAAAGAAAGAAAGAATATTTCAATAGGATATCTTTTATTGAAAAAGATCTTAATAAATAGGGTTTTGAAGGAAGTTGAACAATTTTATTTATTATTATTTTTTATTTTATCACATTTGAACATTTTTAAATATATCTCTACCTTTTTTTTAACCCAACCCTTATTTAGTTCTCATATTTCAGTGACTTGGTAAGATATATGATAGTAACAACTTGCTGGCAATAATATATGAACTAAGAGGGTTTTTATCCAAAGTCCATTATAAAGTGAAATATAGTTCCAAGGCCAAACTTAGAGGCTATTATTGCCTATGATAAGTTAGTTAGATGTGATTTAATGCTTAGCTGTAGTATGTACCATACTGCTTGAATGAATATTTACTTGTGTATTCTTTTGATTAATAAACAAACTGTCTAGCTTGGCTACGGGTAAAATGAAAAAAAAATTCATATAATCAAAAAATTAACGAAAGATCGTTTAATCAAAAGTTTTAGTAAGAGTCTGAAAACATTCGTGAGCAACCACTGTTATATACTGCATATTAAGTCAATTTATATGTTTTATTTATTTATTGTAGAGGAAGTTACATACTGTATATCAATTGCACTTTCATATAATAAAACGAAAGTTCTGGATCTTAAACCCTTACGCGCGGAATTAATGGTCATGTGCCTTGGGAGCAGATTAACCAATTCTTGTTTATATAGCCTAACCAAACTCGGCCTAGAAGCATTTTTCCACAACGCGTTATAATTTGAGGCAAAAACATATGTATGTGATACGACAGGTTTTAATCTTGTTCTATTTATCTCCGTATTGACAAAACGGTAGAACAGTGGATTCTGTCGAATATGAACGAACCTCATACAGTGGTCGTAATATATTAGACTTGCCTCCGTGAATTACTTTTTCGTTAAAAAAATAATTAAGGTAACCGACCGTGATCACCATACCTTTTGCGGTGTGTAGTGTAAATGAAATGCAATAAGGAGCTTTTTTTTGATGCGCTTCGATAATATCACACGTGATCCAATCATGGTGTGACTTTTAAAATCTACTATTACTTGATAGAATCCGACGTATAAGAATTATAGTTGGTGCATTTATAATTGTACTAATGTACTGTACAGTATATAATAAAAAATCTTTGAAGGATTGTGCTATCGCTTACATCGCGTCCTTAAACTTGTGCAAAACTTGTATATTGAACCTCTATTTTTCTCAGTTTAATGGCCACCGGTGATATCAATTACTTCCAATAAGATTAACTTCGTCTAGGAAACAAAGTACCACGGTAGTAACTCTTCAGTGGACACGAAATTTGGCAGCAATTGTTTCTCCATAATTTCAACGAGCGATTCCTCCGCAGCTAGATCAATACAACATTTGTCATAATTCTTATTATACAAAAGTTAATCTTTTATCCAGAAAAAAAGAAAAGAAAAGAAATATGGTGCCACCATGCTGTCAATGAGATCTTATTTCTTTCAGGTTATTTTCTCTCATGTCGTTTATTATAATAAGTAATAAAGATACCGTGGAGAACAGAGGAAAATTTCCAAGATAGAATTCTGGCGGGCTTTTAAACGATACAGGGAGCTAACACGAAATTAGAAATAATTTCATAGCCCCCTAATTTAAAGGAGAAATTTGGGTTCGGGAATATTAAATGATGCGAACCTGCAAATTTAATAAAGTATACCCATATGATCAAGGGGTTACTTTGAAAAAGGGTTGTTCATAAAAGTCATTCTTTTATGTCGGATTAGTATTTAAGCTGAAACCTAAAACGAAAATTTCTATCATAATATATTGTTTAAAGTTAGGAACCAAAATATCATATACTGTACAGATATAACATTTTTATCAAAACAATTATACATTTCCGTACTAACGAACAATATTGTATGAGAGGATTGTTCTATACATTTATTTTTTCTGAACGCAAGGAGAAAATTTGTTACGGTGACACGATCCAATTCGGCTCTCAGCAGTCCGTATTTATAATAATTTATATTATTTTCTGTAAAAAAAAATTTTTCGGATCTTATTTCCGGCATACAGATCTTTGGAAACCATAAATCGGAAATCGGAGGTAGCGAAGTTCAGTCAAGTCACGTTTTGCATTTACTGTATATAGGGGTTGCTCACGATCCGGAAATTTCACTTGAACATAATGCAAATTACGGTAGTCTGCACGGGTGACGCACAAGTGCTGTAAGGGTACCACAATGAGCGATGTACGGAGTTACTACATAATTAGAAATACTGTAAATCTCTGCTCGTTGAATACGTGATTGAGGTGGGATTCGCCTGGGGATTCCGATGTTTCAATTACTGGTGTTTTCACCGGTAATTCGCCTTGATCCATCATTTGGTTAGTCATCAATTTCTTTTTTAAAGCTTACGTACGCTTTCCCTTAAAAGATTGTCAATCATTTCCAAGTGGAATTCTTTTCAAAACAAAGGAATAAACGATATATCATCTCCGGTAATGTGTGAAGATTATTTTTAACAGCATTTATTTAATAATGTATTTTTAATCCCTATTTCTTGCATAAATACATACACCTACAGTATATACTGTAAATTTTAGGGTTACAATTTATGAAAGCAGCAAAATTCTTGTTCGCTTTCGAAAATAATTACTCACATACAGTATATACTGTACATATAGCCATCTTCCAAAATACAATAAGTAGCGGTGTATGGTATCCCCCGGCAGAATATTGCCGGGTCATGGATAAATATTTAGTAATATTTATCGAAAAAAAAATTTTTTTTTAATATAAAATGCACTATTAAAATAGCCGGAAATGGGCTATAAATCGCGACATAGAAGCTACTGTGTGCCTTCGTGACGGTTTATCGCCGAGAACACTAATTTTCATATACATAGGTAACTAGATACCATCACTCGATGACACCAAATCACACCGCTCCACTTACGGTAGAAGAGATTATTTTACTTTATATATGGTAACAAAGCAAAAAAAAGTTGGATGCACCATGGTAATTCCATTCAAGGAAATTTTCCGCATATAGCGCGAGGTCCGTGCGCAATCACTTGTCTTACGCGTACGTAAGCGATCAAATATGTCTATCAAACTGATAAAGCACATGGTAATCTGCAAACGAAACGTCTTTCTCGTTGAATATTCTTTGTGCAAATTTCCAACAGTCTATATTAAGAATGTTTGAAAATAACCGGCTAAAATTTAAGCGAAACTTTACATTATTTTTTTTTTTATCCGAAGTTAAGTTACTTACATTAAGGGACAGGCGAAGAAAAGTTATTATTGTCAATTATTCCTTTGATGTCTCCTTGTTACACATAACAAATAACTTACGATCTGAAATAAAATAAAATCATCGATGTTACCCTTAAAAGGCACATAGGATTGTGTTTCCATTAACCAGATGCATTATCACATAATGTCAAGTTCGATCTCAGAAAATTATTAATCTATACAAGAAATCGGTGTAATTTTCTCGAAATTTTATGAACATCTGTATCCGAAGAAAATCTTATAATACGATTTTTTTTTTGTCAAACAAAATTTAATTATTTAGTTTCTCTGTAGCAATAATATGATCGAGCAAAAAGGCCAAAATGACGCCCTTTGGAATCAAAGATCACCATTGAACTGTTTCCTCCAAAACAAAGGACCGGACCAGATCATAGAACTGTTACGCTATAATTTCGTGTCGATGGTTTTATGAATGCATGCTGTAGTGCAGCGCAGAATGAGCAAGGTGCATACTGTGGTGCATCATCACGAATAACAGTATAATAAATTGACCATCATTTCGTCGGATCTAATTGCCATTTTTAACCTAGTCCCGATTTCAGGTGGCATGGTCATAGCAAAGTAATAAGAATAATAAGAATTTAAAAATAAACGGTGCATGCAAATGCAAAATGAATCGCGTTTCGGGTTAATTCAAATCTATTATTTAAATGAGTCGATTAAAATTCGCGTTATAGGCATAAAAGTATAAAATATCATGAAAACAACACAGAATGACACTTCGTTTTCTTCAAATATTTTTTATAATCATAATACGAACAAAGTTTTTACCTGACTTAAACTCTACTTAAATTCCAATGGGCGATAATCAACAGCAATCCAATTCACCTCTCCGACAAGTCCCACAACAGCAGCATCTTCATATGGCGACTATCCCACTTCCTCAAGGCCCCTTACAAGCTCCGCAACTTCAAACACCTTCCCTCCAACAACAATTGGTAAATCAATTTAATCCCGTTCAAGGTCACGTGCTGATATTTGATACCACAAAAAAGCAAAAAGAGTCGAATTTCGCGGTAATGCTGTTTGAAGGCGACAATGTTGATGAATGAAATTGGTATCATCTGATTCATCTACCTAGGTTAAGGATAAGATATATCACGCATTTTTCCTCCTACATACCTGATGTTTTTACATTATTTACAGTTTTTTATCTTTCTTTCCTGTTTACATACTGTATGTCATACGATATAAATTATGGATTCGACATTTACTTTCTTCAAAGTTATTTTTATATTTTTACCTCGAGTCAATCCTGTACATAAATATTAAACAAAATCAGATCGGGTCAAACTTTTTTTAAGCATAGCATCTCGTTATACGATTATTTTCTAAAAATTTCCTCTGGATTAGTGTCTCGATGCTAAGCACGCAGCATGGATCCGCAGGAATTCCGTGACGTCGTAAATCATTGTTAATGAGCACCAATCATGCTAATAATAAAACGCTATTGCTATAAGATATTTCACTGAATATTGACCATTTGGCAGAAATGGATAATAATAGCTTACGTTAATGAAAATTGAGCACAAAATATTTTCAGACGTCCACTTCGTGATTAGATCCTGATCCGAATTACTCCGAAACTAGACATTATTATACGTGTGTCCCGACTATCTGCGATTGATTGGTACTGTACAGTATATTGCATCGATCAATGTGCGCGTATCATTGCTATAAATTTATATTAAAATAGAGAATAAATTTTTGACTAACCATTTCTCTTCAAGATTGTGTTTCTTTTTCCTTTTTCCTTTTTTTCAAATGTGAGGATTACCAGACAATCATTGTTTTCCTTTTTTCTTTTCTTATTTTATTTTATTTTATTTTTTGAAAAAAAAAAAAAAAAATGACGATGTACTAATCGCCAATGCAATTGTTGCTTACCTTTTTCTTGTTATTCTTTTTTTTAAATACAGTATATGTCTAAAAATATTGTATATTAAGTATGAAAAAATAAAAATAAAAATAGAATAAATATTTTTTATTGATAATAATTTATTTAATAAAAATCTATTATTTGTTTTTTTTTTTTAACGTAAAAATTTGACTCATATTTAGTTTAATTAAAAAACAAATCAAGATATGGAAATGATTTTTCAATTTATTGCATGGAATAACTTAAATTACATGATGATAAATGAAGGCCCTTTTGTTTATTTCACAAAAAATTTTGAATTGCAAAAAAACATAAATAATAATAATTCATACATTTATTGTACTTTTCAATTGTCTATTTATTTTAAATTTAATTTAATTTTATTTTTTAAACTATATTTTATTTTATATATGTACAGTGCGGGACATTAGCTTTTGAAAATTTTTAATCAATCATAATTTAATAAAAATTTTATTAAAAATATGTTTTTTAAAATCTAAAACATTTATTTATTAAGGTTTACTTAATAATTTACTAATAAATTTATCATAGAATTCCATTTTAATAAATATTATAAAAAATTTTATATACTGTATATTTTATGGATAAATATTTTTAAAAAAATTAACAAAAAATTTTGAAAAATGTTTCAATTTATAAAAAAACCAACAAAATAGTTTTATGATATTAAATAATTTTTTATATATTTTTAACAAGTTTTATTTATAGAAAAAGGTGAAATAAATATTTTTTATGGTATTTGAATTATATCATTATAATTATCTTGTGATTTTAATTTATAAAATTAATTCAAGAAAATATTTTAAATAATATTTTCATGAATTTGTCTTTTTAATTCAATTTTTTAATATACAGTATTTAATTAACTAATTTTGATAAAAAAATTTTAATTAATAAAACTATGAATTTATAAATTTATATATTCTTTTAATTTAATAATTTCATATATTAATATATATATATATATATATATATATTTGCTGTTATTTTAATTATTTTTTAAAATCAATTTTTTTTTATAAAATTATGATATCGAGATTTAAAAAATTTCTTGAGTAAACTTATTAATTATATTGACATAAATATATTTTATATATAAAGTTTATAATATTTGATTAATTTAATTTTTATTTATAAATAAACATTATAAAATAATAAAATATTTATTTGGTAATTTTTTTGATAAATATACAACGTGGAGCACTCCCTTTTGAAAAAAATTATATTATTATAATACTGTATATGCAGTATATATATTTTACACCTTAACTTCAATATTACGTAACAATCAATAATTATTTATAAATGTAAAATTTAAACTTTTAATTAATTTCGATAATCTATGCTAGGGGGTGGACATGGATTTCATTTTGTTTTCTAGTTTCCAACGGTAGAGCCTGGAATGGTATGTTGCAGTCCTTTTCTAATTTGAACTTTCGTACGCAGTATTGATACGTACTGTATGTTAAAGATGTTCATACTTACCAGTAACAAAAAACCAGTTTTCGAGTGTCTAACCAAATTTGGATGAAAGCAACGCGTTATGGTGAGGCACAGACGTTCATCGCAAATATTTACATAACGTATCTCCGGATTTGACAAAACGGTAGAACGGTGGGAAATAAACATTTTCATATCGATATTATCGGAATAAGAGCACGCCAGTAGTTATAGCATGTCGCACTTTCATGGATTACTTTATCGTTACAGTAGGGATTGGGATGGCCGATTGTAATCATCACTTTTCAGGAGATATCTATCGGGAGCAAGACCTTGCTCCGCTGATAAGACTAATAAAGAAAATAAAGAATCTATGACCAATTTCGTGTTTAGAACAAGATATGCGGATATACGGCAAGCGAAATGCAGTAATTATCGATGATATATTGTAAAGGGAAGTGATATCTCTGATTTGCCATATTGATATCACACGGGATTACCCGCAAGCAAGATGGTCTTTAAAATCTACTTTTATTGCTAAAATAATAACAATTACGGTTAGTGATTAATATACTCATAATTGTACTGGCATGGAAAACGCAATCATTTAAAAAAAAATTACGTTATCGAGCACATCCTATCCTCATAATTGTATAAATAAGCCTCCATTTTCCCTCCATTTAATGGACATCGGCAAGATGAATAATTTCCAACAAGCTCAACATCGTCTAGGAAACCAGGAGCCGCGGCTTCAACGAGCACAAAATTTGGCGACTGTTGCACCGCAAGCTTCCCAGCAAGCGCAACAGTTAGCTGTCGCTTCTCAAACTTCCCAACAAGCGATTCCTCCGCAACCAGAAAAATATGATATTTATTGGGGTTCTTCAACATGTTTGTTCGGCCTTACTCAAGAACAAATCACTCAAAAAAGTTTCAAAGATACCTTATCTGACGGAGCTCCGTTCTTTTAAAGTCTGTGATGTTTTATTCCGAAACAAACAATCAAAATCAAACAAAACATAACAAAAAAAAAAAAAAAAAAAAAAAAAAAAAACAACAACAACAAAAAAAAAAATTACTATACTTCTACGTCGTCAAGACGAATACCATTATTAATTTTTATTTTTCTCATATGTATTATCTGTCATGTGATTATTTCACGCAGAAAAAATAAATAAATAATAATAAAAGGTGAATTTCGATAGAATTCCGATGTGCTTTTATACAATCAGGTAGCTAAACCAGAACTATAAATCAATTTTGCGACCCCTGACTTCCATTGAGAAGATTTGAGCTGCACAAATCTACTTGTGTTAATCTTTACGTGATACTGTAACCTTAACCTGTCCACCTGATCAAGGAAGTGGGTTTAAAAAAGGGTTGTCATTAAATCGCGGAGTCTATTAATGAACAATATGATAATGATGGGATTGTTTCCATGCATTTGAAAAAGGTAAAAAAGACCAAGTTAAAACTCTTTGTTTAAGTGAGACAGCCATTATGCCCTTCCATGAATATGAGGTCGAGGAAGTTATTCGCCAGATGTTTCCAATTTGGTCAATTACTGATGTTTTCAACCACTGATTTTAAGTTATTCATCAACTTCATGCCAATAATATCGCCAAATTCTGACGAGATTCTGATATGTACAGCACGCAAAGGATTATGTCGATCATTTCTATTCACGAAATTTACAGTCGTCTTTCGAAGTTGTTGTTTTTTGTAGGTGTTCGATATATGCATGTAACTGCCTTCCGAAGAAGTCTTGAGTTACAACAGTTTTTACCACCGAGAACGCAGTTTCTTTCTTTCTTTCTTCCTTCATTAATGCGAATGTAATTAATCGATGAAACCAATATGCGTACATTTGCTGATCTACCTTTCAGGAAACCAATATGCGTACATTTGCTGATCTACCTTTCAGCATAGACCTTCTACGCTGTATTATAGGTAAATCACGTCTATTGCTGGTCAAAATGGGTTAATCAAACCTATATATGGAAAAAAGTGACAAAAAGTGGTGCACCATAATTATTTCGTTTAAGGAATTTTCCGCATATGGCGTAAGGTCCGTGCGTAATATACGTACCGTACTTATGCTTGTATGTAAGCAATCAAATACGTACGTCTATCCACGGAAAAGCACATGCCAACCGTAAACATATGAAGCATAACGTCTTTCTCACCGAATATGCTGATTTCCAACAGTCTTATATTGACAATTTGTAGAAGAGTGTTTGGAACCAGCTTTATAATTTCAGATGAAACTTTCCAGAATTCTTGATCTGAAAGTGAATTTATTTCGTTGACGATTAAAAATAATCCGAAAAAATGTTCATTCAATCATAATATTCATCAATTATTCAATACACGTGAAGCTATCGCCGTCCTCTTGTCATCCAACAACAAATAATTTGCGATATGAGTAAAGAAATGCGTGCAGTACCTTTAAAAGGCAACATCGATACGTTAGTATGGTAACACACAGGTCACAGTTTTCTGAGATCGATTTTTGTTTTATAAATTTATTTTCTGCATAAGAAATCGGTTCAACTTTTTATGTTGCCTGAAAATTTGATGGACAGACAATGAAGAAATTTACGAAAAGATTATTGACCAAAACCCGATCCCACATTTCTCTGATACAAATTTACTATATTCGAATGATTACGCCTTTCATATTTTGATTTCTCTTTTGTAGGTCATTTGCTAAAATTATTAATACTGCACAGGATTTGTGAATGGAAAAGGTACACGTCGTAGCGCGGCGCACTGCATCATCATAGATCATCACGGTTTCGGATCTAACTACTATTTTTTGACATATTCCCGGTTGTGCATGGTCGTATTGAAGAATAATAAGTTTAAAATTTGGTAGCACATAAAATTAAAGGATTAAAAAAAAAAATCGATGGTTTAAATATGTCAATTGAAAATTCGCGTTACGGGTTGGGTATAAACGTATAAAAAGATCATGTAAATAACACAGATTGTTGATTCAAATATTTTTTAAAATCAACGTTTTTTACCGACCAAAGTATTACTTAAATTCCAATGGGCGACCAGCAACAACAATTCAATTCACCTCTCCGACAGGAAACTCCACAACAGCAACATCTGCATCTAGCATCCAATCAATTTCCTCAAGGTTCCGTGCCATCTCTACAACCTCAAACACCTTCCCTCCAACAAAAATTCGCAAACCAATTTAATCCCGTTCAAGGTCACGTGTTTATATTTGAAACCACAAGAAAACAAAAAGAGTCGAATTTTGCGGTGATGTTATTCGAAGGTGACAGCGTTGAAAATTAGGACCAATGAAATTATTTTCATCGCTTAGGATCGAAACAATTCTTTTATCCATCATGTATATAGTCGATCATTCATTTTTCAATTCCTGAAATTTGTACTATTTACAAGATTTGATATACTGTATATACTGTAATACCGTATATATATTTCTGATTACTTAAGTTGATAAAATGTTTAAGATGGATTCAAAATGATTCTTCTTGAGCTACAGTATCCATATTTTAAATTTCTGCATTAGGATTCACCAATATTTATTTAATAAATTCAATTTTATCAAAGTATAAATATTGGATCCATCTCAAATATTTTCTTCACGACATAATCATATCGAATAATCATATCGAATAGAGATCACAAAATTATGAGAGTGAGGACACGGTTTGTTATGTGATCCTTTTCCAGTTGTTTCCTTTGGATTAATTTCTCGATGTGAGCATGCGACAATGAAATCCGATGATGAGGACAACTTACCGTTTTTAGATGCAAGTCGCAGATATGAGAATATTAATTGTTAACACCATCGCTTGCGTACCAATAATCGGAATAATTGGTGACATGTATAACAGTGTTGGTCGCAATTAACAAAGCGCTCAAAACATGCGTATGGGTAAAGTAAAAATGGCGAGCGATTTAGAGTACATACTGTACAATGTTAGGGAATTTGTGTCCACACAATGGTATATTAGCTAACGTAGTTGATTATTTTTTTAGGTGAAAGTTGAGCACAAAAAGAATAATAGATACCCTCTTCATGATCACGTATAATTAAAATTCCGATTGAGTTACTGATTTGCCAACGAGCTAAGGCTTCGACTAGTCACTTCTCCTTAAAGATCCTTCATGACGAAGATGATCTTTGGAGTATCAGCTTACTTACGTTTGTTATTTTTTCTTAAATAAAGCAATTTTGATGTCATTTCCGCGTCTCCCGTCACATTACTGAATGTATACATTTAAGGGAAATAGATTTCCCGTGGTTTTTTTCCTTTTCTCTTTGCTCTATTAGGATAAGCCGATTTGAAATGAGTTCCCAACTATTCATGGTTTCATTTGTGGCGCTTCAATTTTATATATTTAAAAATATAATAGTGATGATAGGTTAATTACTATAGGAATACAAAGATCTCAGCTGTGAAGCGCATGAGTTTAATTTAATTAATATTTGAGTAAAATATATAATATCGTTAGATGATATATTTGTTTAATATTTTAAGTATCACTATTTTGAAATCATTCTAATAGCATTATATACTGTAATTTCAATAATTGACAAATCAATACGTTATCACATAAAAAAAATTCATACTTTGAAATATTCAGATGCCGTATGTCAAAATTATCAGCGGATCATCTTCGTTCTTTAATTGAAAAATATCATACGTTCTATTTGTACTGGTCAAGCAAATAATGCTTTAAATGTTTGACACCAATATTTTTGCACAAATAGTTGGAAATATGCAGTATTTTAGAAAAATGGTTTAAAGTATATTTTTCAAAATCAAAATCTATTTTTAAATTGCGACACAAAAAAGAAATTTTACAAATATAAATACTGAATAAATAAATAGTGATTGAAAATATACTGTATGAAATTTTTATAATTTGAAGAAGCATATAACAAAAAGTACAATTAAATATTTTTACAATAAAAAGATTAAGATTTTAAATTTGTCTTTATAATTTTTGGACTTACTGTAAATTCCATATAATACTGTATTAAGAATAAAAGAATAAAACTCTTAAAGATTTTTTTGAAATTAATTATTAAAATTTTGTTAGATTATAATTTTTTTTGAAATTAATTATTAAAATTTTGTTAGATTATAATTTTTTTTAAAAAAATATTGATTTTAAATAGGTTACAAAAATTTTATAATAAAATATTATTATAATTATTTTAATCATTAAATTTATAAATAAAATTTTTACAATTTTTTTATTAAAAAAAATTTTTTTTTAATTATATAATTTATTTAAGTTTAACAAATAAAAAATATCAATTCAATAATAAATTACTATTCTTGAACTTTTAAAAAATTTTTTAAAATTAAATTTAAAAATAAAAATTTAAATAAATTATATCAAATATATTATTATAGCATTAAGAATCTTTAAGAATTTTTTTATATATTAAAAAAAAAATTTTTTTTTTTTGATTGTTAATTAATTATTTTTAAAAAAATTTACTATCAAAAAAATCTATTTTCTAACTGCTTTTTTACATAAATTTATATATAAAAAATTTATAAAATTTTTTTTTTTAACTTTAAATCAAAATTTTTTAAAAAAATTATTAATTAATTACTATTAAAACTTAAATGATTTTTAAATTAGGTTACAAATTATATATATTTAAAAATTTTATTTTAATTAAACAATTATTTATTAAATTATAACAAAAAATAAAAGGGCAAAAAGTTTTGTTTCAAACTGTATACATATATATATACAATATTATTAAATTTTATACTTATATTTTTAATAAAAAACTATATAAATATATATATAATTATAATATATATATTTTAATAATAATGAATCAATCACGACTCTTTCCCGTAGATCCATTTTTTTTCAAAATTTCCTTTCTAGACAATTTTTGGAAAGAAGTCGAAAAATAACGGAGAAGAGAATACAACATGGAGAGGAATAAAAGACCCCAATACGCGA